CAGGAGAGCTGCAAGTTCAAATCTGACAGAAGAAGAAAAAAAATGCATTTTTAAGGCAATATACTTATATAGTCAGAGGCTTACTGACGGTATATAATATGTAATATGGCTTACTAAGAAGGGTGCCATTTTATCAGGGGATGGTACAAGAGCTTATGAAAAACAAAAAAGTTAGGTTTGGTAGGCAGCTATTTTTCAGAAGAGGAAATGAGATGAGAATGAGACATATTTTTATGAAGTGTGTGATGCTGTGAGAGCTCTGGTGGAGCCAGCTGAAAACCCTCCTCCTACTTCCTGTTGTCTTCTTCGTAATTTCCGCCAGTGAGTCATTTCCAACATCTGAAAAAAATTCAGATGTTGATCATGTGACTATAGTGATCCAAAAAAGTGTTTCCATAGCAGTTTTGCAAAATGCATCTATTTTGATACGGCTGAAGAAGAAAAAAAAACATTATTCTAGTGCAAAATTGTTCAAAATAAACATGTTTCCATGAAGCAAATTTATTTTTGTAATTTTATTTGCAGGATTTTATGGTGCAAGTGGATTTATCATAATACCTCATAAATCTCAAGCATAATTTGAGATTTCTGAGAGCTCTCTTTTCAAAATAAAAATGAAAATTTGGGATATCTGTGTAACATTGGGACAATTTGAACGACACTCAATTGTTCTAATTGTTGTGATTCAGACTCCTGAAAGCAAAGTTTGTGAAAGCAAAAACAATTGATTCTTGACTAACTTAGAAATGCAGTGAAGTGTCCTCTAGTTTGCTTCTCAGTAATCCAGTAATGTGAATGTGGATGCTGGTCACAGAGAGAGAGGCTCACCCGGGGTTACATTCATTCAAGAACTGCCACTGAATATCGTCGGAGAACAAAATGCCACCCCTGATTTAATTTGAAGCATTGGATGCAGCTAATGAAACCATAATCTCATGTGGGAAAAGGCTACAAAAACAACTTTGCTGCTGTTTGAATGAGTCTGTTCTGATCAGCTGAATGCTGCCGACGTTCAATGGAAAGTCAAAGTCGACCCACCACCTTTATGCTCCGATCCATATTGGGACGTCGCCACATGGACCTTGATCTCTGAGGCAGATTTAAAAAAACCGGTCAGAGAAGTCAGACAGAGATGAATCTGTAAATGGATACATCTTTGTGTCTCTTATTGCCGCTACCTTTGTGCCAACCCTGGTTCCATGTTTGCAAAGGCGACTCCATGTCTCCATATTCCAACAATGACAAACAGTTCCTCATGACATTTTTTTAGAACAGTGCATTTCCTGCTCAGACCACCAAACTCAGCCAATCACAGCATCCCCTTAAGTTTCAAATTTCCTCAACAAGACGACAGCGTCAGAGCATGTCTGTAACAAAGAGAATCTAATCAGCTGAATCTATTACAGATTTTTGTTTAACTGTTATTTCACCTGAATGTCCCTTATTTTTTTCCTTTTTACTTTAAGAACTAAATGTGCAGACAATATTTACATTTTAAGCTTAGAAAGTTAAGCATCGTTATTAAATGTGATATTTTGTATTAGATTGACTGTCAACCTGACAAACTAAATGGCAGAGGGGAAAACTGCATTCCAATATCAAGTTACCCTTGCTTTGATTTTTAGACTTTGTCTCAGTTTTGTCTCTTACAATAATAACTTTATTGTCTATTTTATTGCAATTTCTCAAAATTGTTTAATATCCCAACCAGTCAAGTAAAAGGTTAAATATTTCTTGAATAAACTGAAGAAAAACCTTCAACTAATTTATTATCGTTCTTTCTAATAAAGAAGAGGTAGCAAAAATGTTGATAAAATATTCATATTTGAGGGTGAAAATAGCTTTTCTAAAGCCTAGTCATTAAAGAAAACATCCCAGCCATGTCCTAGTCTCCAAACACATGAATTATTCTAGAATCAAACTCATTATGCTTTGACCTCTTTCTGTGATTAAAAAACAATACTGAGGATGCTTTAAATAGCATCATAACCTTCTGCTTTAAAATGTTAGTGTTCCTAGAAATAAATAATCTACCACGATTTCAGGAAGTTATTTCCTAACAGCAGCAATAAAACATTAAAAGTGAGACTCTTTCTGATTCAGCATATTTAAATGACTGTGTCCTTTGCAGACAGAAAGGTGACGCGTGCAAAAAAAAATATGAAATGAATAAAAACTGCCACCAGATCAGCAGAAACATAATTCTCCATCTTTTCAACAAACACAGCGAATTTGATCTGATCTAATCAGAAAAAGTTCAGCAGAAGGTTTGCAGTCCACAGAGGTGGTTCACCCAACAAAATCAGCTGCTCGAATAAAAATATATTTCTTAGGAGAATGGAAAAGTCTCAGGATAACCCTCCAGAGTCATGACCTAAATCACGCAGAGCTCTTTTGGGATTTGATGGTGAAAATAATGTCAGCTCTGATTTCTTTGCCAGCATATACAAAACCTTATGCAGTGTTGCTACAGGAGATTTCTTAATGGTAAAAATAACTTCTGTTCAGTTTTTTCCATTATTTGAAACTTGCCAAACACATTTTTTGTGTCTTATAAGCTGAACTTTGTGACTGTACATGACATGAACAGAGCTTCACAGTACAGATAAATAATACAACGCAGGGAACATTTTCTGTTTGGGAACTCTGTGTTCCCTAAAATGCAATCAGGAGGATTTGAAGAAATAGTCAGTCTATTATCAGCGCCTGATGACATCATAATGGGGCTTCTTCTGTGTGCTGCCTGCTCTGAAAGCTGAATCAGACTAATTGAGACAAAAAAGAACAAATACCAAGAATAGAGTCGAGTGGAATTAAAGTTCAACCCCAACAAGTGTGATGAATCCTGATCCACTTGGATAAAGTTTGGTTGAAAATAAACAGTTTTTTAATTGACTGTTCCTTAATCTTTAACCTCTAATCTTAAAGCAAAGTTGTTGTTTGTTCTGAGAATATTCTCCTATTTAGCCATAAAGCTAAATCAGAATCCATGACAAAGAATTTGAATTTGGTTCCACATTGCTCTTGTTAAAAAATTTACATATGTAAGCAGAAAAATGAAAACTTTTTTGTATAGGTGAGAATATTACTTAAAAGCCAATTTATTTAAGAAACTTTGTCACATTATAAAGATTAATCACACACAGATGAATGGTTGAAAGCCTTTATTTCTGTTAGTCATGATAATTTTCACTTACAGTTAATGAAAACATGCCGTTTAAAATTAAAATACTACATCAAACCAACATTTATTACATTAACATGGGCTACATGAATGTGGACTAAATGAAAAGTATGTTTAATACCTCCTTCCCTGTATTATATTATAATTCATTAAATATGACTGTTTACGCCGCTAACATCATCTCAATTCAGATTTAGTGCAATCTGGGAGAAGTTAAACCGGCTGAGCTTAAAGGTAATCACTGATAATTATTTTGTTTGTTTTGCTGATATATTTTTTAGGAATAAACAAAGCTAAAGTTCAAAAATTAAACTCATGGCACCATTCTGTAGCTATGGAAATACAACAATCAGAATATAAATCCTTGCACTTTTAAAAAGTAAACAATGTCCATCCTTTTAATTTTAAATGCTAAACGATTTAAACTTTATGACTTATCTATGATAAAACAATTCAATGATATTTAATATCATTTTTAATAAACCAATGCTAATATTTTCAATCTATTATTCAAATGTAAGGATTGATCTTAGTAGCTCATTTATGTACTAAATGTTGTATATCATGTCTGCAATAATTTTTGAAGAAAATTCTTTTAAACTTGAGCTTTAACTTTGGTTTTTTGGTTGTAAAATGGTAATAAAGTCACACTTACAAGTTAAAATAACAACAAAACATACCAGAGTGAAATATAGAGTCTGTCTAAAGGTTTACATTTTTGTTTGAGACATTTTTAGCTCCTAACTGACAAGATTATGATTTTTTCCCCCAGCTTTTCTTGGACACTGACTTCCCTAACAAGAATGTCTGTGAATACTAGGAATTCGCACAAAAAGTGATTGTTATTCTGTGAAACCCACAACGGATGGCCATGACTGAAGCATGGCATGTCGATTTTTAAAGCAGAAGATTGGGATGCTTTCTGTTTTTGTATATCCATCTGCCACCTCTCAAGCATTTTCTTTGGCAGCAGAACAAAACGGCTCCGTATTCAATCTCACTGGACCAATATGTAGCAGTTCAAATCTGTCACACTGTGTCGAAGCTTTCTTGCTGAACTCCTGCCACAATTTTTAGCTCCCTAATTGAAAATAGTGGAAAACCCTTTCCGCTTAGAAGATGATGCCGAGTGACAACCAAGAAGGGGATGGGAGGGAGTGGGTTGGCAGGAAGCAGACACTGGACATTATCACCAAGGAGCTGAATCGCTTGCTGCATAATTAGCATTTTAGGTCAGTGTTATTGCGAAAGAAAACTGCTTACAGAGGTGTTGCTTTAAGTCCACATATCATAGAGGGGTTTCCCTCTAGTCTAAAGAGGCCCATCTCTTTGATTTAAAATCTATACAGCAAAGTGCTAAGGGGAAGGAAGCTGTCATCTGTATTGATTTTTGTTTTATCCTCATCATCATTTATTTAATAATTTATACATTCACTTTCATTTCCTCTGCAGTAAGCAAAGCTACAGAGTGAGGCAAGCATTGTCATTGTCTAATCTGTTTGGAAAATCCATTCACTTTATCCTTTCGCTCCTTATTCCAGCTATTTATCCCGCAAAAATACCAAAGTGTTTGGCATTCATGAGAAATGATGATGTGTGGAGTGATTTAGATTTTGATGAATAGACCATAATAGCTATTAAGATTTTCTTCAGCTAAGCCGTTTCAGTTTCTAGTCTGTTTTTACTCCCCTTGCTCAGATATATTCCAACACTTCAACACTTTAGCACCTTCTGGTTAGTAATGATGGTGTCGGCTCATGTGTGCATACAAATCATCATCCCTGTTGTAACCGTCCTAACCTTTTACCATCAACAGATGAGACATCATTTGAAGCTGGGATCAAGGTTCAGATCCACACCCAGGACGAGCCGCCGTTCATAGACCAGCTGGGCTTCGGAGTGGCTCCAGGATTCCAGACCTTTGTTTCCTGTCAAGAACAACGGGTATGTCCCGGAAGAGAACATAGCGCGCTGAAAACATGCTAAAATATGTCTGCAGAGCCTCACAATAGCTGCATTTCCATTACAAATGAGTGCAAAGCTTTGTCAGTATTCCATTAATGTAGGATAAACATCATTTTTCATTTGCTGTGTTTCCATTGAAAAAGAAAGTTTGTTCACGATAAGTCGTTAGAAAGCATGCTGCACCATGATCCTCGTACGACTTCCTGCCGTCTTCTTTCTTGTGGTTTGCGCCAGTGGCAACATCCAGTTATTGTGTTACTCAAAATAAAATGTTTCCATTGCAGCTTTGCTAAATAAGCCAATTTTGATACAGCAAAAAAAAAAAAACACCTTATCCAAATGCCAAATTTTTTATTGAAAATAAGATTCTTTCGAAATTGCCGCATTTCCATTAAGCTAATTTATTCTCAAAATGTTGAATTATGCAAGAACATGGTGAATGCAAATGCAGATAAAGAAAAAAGTGATTGTAGCTTTCATTACAGTCCGATTTCAAAAGTGGTAAATATTCATTTACTCCTCTAAATGGAATTAGTATCATTCAAGGTTTCCCGACACTGGAGGGTTTGGCACTTTTTGTGTTTAATAATGTGTTTGCTTTTGTTTGTTTCTAGAGCTTCTGCAGAAAGCTCACATCTTTTCAAGCATGACATGATGGTGCAACAGGACCATATTGAAAAATAATGGTTTTTTTGCATCAGTTTCTTCTGCAGATTCCCTTTGGAAGTATCTAAAACATCCTACTTTTACACAACACTGACAAGACTCAAAAAAAGGGAAATATCATACTTGGGTGTTTATTTTGTCAAGAAAATTACTGTGATTAGAAAACTATGCGAATCTTTGTCTTCATCTGAGGTTTTGGTTGAAGCACTTTTGTAAAGTTTGTAACTAATATAAGACAGATAAAGGTGCAAATTTTTTAAGTCTACAAACAGGAAGTTGAAATACACTGTTCCACAGGCTCTAAGTAATCTGTATATTCTGTGAGCCACAGGAACTTTATGCACAATGTCTGTGGACCGTAGATATTTCATCGTCAAGCTTATTTCTTACATTTCTTGTGACAAATTTGTTAATTGTGGGAGTACCCCAAAATTAAGGAATGTCTGAGAGTCTGAGCCAGTCTTAAGTAATTTTACTGACTCATGAGTCACGATTCGTCACGTGCATTAACTCGCCACTGCTACATACTAGCCGTAACCTGAATCCATTCACAAAACCAGCTAATCAAAGTGCAGCTCTAGCAGGGGCTGATCAACTTGGTTGAGCTCCAGGAGGGCCGGATCGTTGCGGTAACGATTTAGCTCGGTTCAGCTCCAATAAGAATGAGACGAATGGCTGAGGATGAGTTAATGGTTTTCTCTCAGCAACAGTGCGCTCTCTGCAGGGGGTAGAACCCGTCTGTTTCCTGCTCTTTGCTGTCTGCTCCTGAACTCTGAGTAGAAATGTATTCATCTAGTCACTGTGGTAAAATAATTTTAGCTTGTTCTGTTGTATTATTGTGGAGCTTAGGATATTAATCACTCACTGCAAACAGTATGAATTACTGCTTGCAAGCTGCAGTGTATAAATAAAGTATAAAACAAAATCTGAGATAAGACAAAAAAAGTTATTTCTTTTCTTTTATGACTAATGGATGATATTAAATACACTTGCATTATAGTACAGGGTCTGCAACCTGCTGCTCTTCCACAATCACTTTATAACTTTGGCTGATAAAATAAAAAACAAATAATGTTTATAAATATGTTTTCCTGACAATACTTTGTAACTATGTGCTTATTTTTCAATATGCTAGATAATGCAGCCATCTTCTTTTTGCAAACATCTAATCTAAAAATGGAAATAAAATGACTGCAATTTCCTACATATTCATACAAAATGGGAAGCTGTCTTTTTCTAAATGTTATGCAACCTGTGCACCTTTAAAACAAGGATGCTTAGCTGCAGCAAGGGTGAAAATGGCTCTTTGGACTATTAAAAGTTGCAGACCTGTACTGGTTTTGGGCGCGATGTGGTCTGTGCTGTACTGGGTAACTGACTCAAAAACTCCACTCACTTTGATGACTCACAAAGAGTAAAGGCAGTAAAAAGAACAAATTTCCCATCATCTACTTCGAATCTGACATGATTGCAGGTGAATGAGCAGCTCAAATAAAGAAATCCACCTGCATATTTAAGTTGTGGCCGCAGATTTAATATCAGTAAATGTTGGTGAGCCTCCTATAATACCAATATTAATATCAGATATTGGCATTGGCCCATTATATTCAAATCAATGCATCCCTACTTAATACCTTCAACTTGTTCTGTTAACTGAATAGAAATCAGAAATAGGTTTTGCCCTTTTTACAGCACGAGTAGACCAAATGTATGATGAAAAAATCCTTCTTGCATACAAATAAGTGAAAGGTTTGGTAAATTAAAGTAAAATTTTATTTTTTCTCATTTGTTTTCCTTGCCTACAATTTTTTGAAAATCTACCGATCTTTTAGTTCATACATAAATGCTTCACAAACTTTTAAGCTCTATGTAGTTGTTTCATTTTGAGCAGAGATGATAAAGAAGATATCAAAGCTGTTAGAGCTCAGTTCTTTTTCCAACTTCAAAAACATCAAGTTCTCGTCCCTCCGGACTCCATCACAAACTCAATCCAGCATCATCCATTTAGCGTTTTTGTGCCAAACAGAAGGCTTTTTGCAATTTTTTTTTTTACATGTGCTCTTCTACTTCTCAAAAATCTCAAGCAGCTTAGAGGTGCAAAAATGAGAATCTCTCACAGTTGAAATATTTCTCATTTGCTTGAAAACATAAGGCAAGTATAAATCTGTGCTGCACAAGATCATAAGATCTTGTGCAGCACAGATAACGCTCACAGTTGCACATAAGATGTGCAACTGTGAGCGTTATCCACAACGCATCTGTCTCCGATCCATTCTTTCATCGTTGAGTGCGCTTGTGTCTTTGGGTTGTGACGTTCCTTCACAGCCCAGGTGTCTCTGGCAGGGTTGATCAGTTTGTTGTCTGTGGAGCAGCAGCTCCAAGCATTTACGAATCTCCCTCTAACTCTCTGTTCGATCTCTGTTTTTCATTTCCGGTCCCCTTTTTGTTTATCCGGTAGCTTGATTCTGATGTTTTGCATCTTAAATTGATATTTAAAGTCACAAATATACTTTTTCCCATTAACATTTAACTTGTGTTGTAACCAAATGTGTTGATTTTGTGGGTCTGTAGACTTAATTTTTTTTAAAAGAAAAGAATAAAAAATAGAGTAAACAGAGGGTACATGATGATACATAAAGCAGGGCGATAATTGTTATGACCTCCTTATTCTTCAAAGTTTTTATAAAACCTCTTTTGGGGCTGTAAGAGGGAAAGAAAGATGCAGCTTTTCTGGTGCAAACACACGTGACAAGGTGTTGTTTTTGAGCCATCTTTTAGTACCATAGCATTGCCTAAGATTTCACACAAAAACATTTCATAGAGGGAAAAACAGACTGTAAATTATTAAGACAAAATTTTCTTTTCTCACTTAAAATCATGAAAGTCATCGTACGTTTCAGAAGACATAAGAAGAGCACGTCATCTCCAGCTCCGCCTTTGGGACGAAGTGACAAAACTGGACCATTTTATGCATAAGGAAGGAAGCAAGAGAAATGAAGACATTGACTATGCAAAGCTACAGTAAACTTCTTCCAAGTGTACAGTACAGACAAGTGGTTCAAAATAAAAGAAACAAACTATGAATTAAGAGAAAAGGGTTTGTCAAAAAAAAAAAGTTGTGGGGAGTAAAAACTGTTTCTTTTAGTCTTTAAATGAAAAAGATGAATAAAATTGTTTGCTAAACAAATATATTAAGGTTATGATTGCATGTTTTCTTTTGAGTTTGTCTACAGATTCAGGTAGATTTTCGTGGAGATTTGCTTTAGAAAAATACACAGGAGACACAGCAGAAATACTTCTCTTTTCATAATTCTGCATGAATAAAATAGTGAAAGCATAATAAACTCATGCATTCATGAATACTGTTTTCAGTCTACACTTTGTGTTTTTGCCATTGACAAGAATTTAAATGTTTTTCTATTTCTGTATTTGTTTTGTCTTGTTTAATTTTTTTTTTTTTGCTTTTGCATTTTTTGTTTGATTTTATTTTTTTCTACGTTGTGATGACAGACAGGTAGTCATAGATATACAAATATACATCTCCGTAAAAACATTCTTTTTGTTTTGTAGTTTATTTAAAATATGCAAATGATGCCTACCTTCCCACTTATTACAAAACAACATATTTCACTGAATCAAGTAAACCTTAAGGAAGCACAATAACTATAGAACACCATAGCCAAGGAAAATAGCTGGCATATTCATAATACTTGTGATATTTGCAAATCCACACGGTCAGCAGGAGATGTTGTTCAGCCTTTTGGCGCCTCTCCAGTTTCTCTTTGTTCTCCAACGCAGAAACTTGTAGTTAATACTGCGACTTCTTCTCTGAGCGTCCAGAGCCTCCTGCAGAGGATGTGTGTGGTTACACTTTCTGATCCCACACACAGATGCTCCAATAAGCATAATCAGTGAATGGAGCGCTGGCCAAAACCAATTGAGAAAAAATGCAAAGGAACCAGCTGCACACATTGAAAGATTTTCCTGAGAAGGAAGAGTCTGCTCAGTTCTTTCTTATTTGCCACACATGTAAATAGATCCGTCCAGTTTGTTGTCAAGGTGAACTAGATATTTATAGGACTCAATCAGATCAATGTTTTCTCCATCTATTGTAACAGGCGGATGCTGAAACTGATGTGAGATATGGCGTTGTTAAAGTAAAATGTCACTTTTTAATCATAAGTGAGAAAGTAGCAGCACTTATGTAACAACTAGGGACCAAAGTTACCGGTTAATGAGTTAATTTAAATTTTCCATAATCTGCTGTTGCTGCTCCATCATTCAGCACCTTGGTGGATTGAGCACAACTGAGG